ATTTCGAAACGGCAGATCACGGCAAAACTTGATTGTACCCATATATACCAAATTAATTGCCTATATCACAACATGAAAGCGAAGCTTAGAAATACAAAGAACTGAGCTCTTGGAAATTTGGTCATATTCAAAAGCGTCCTTTACGATAATAAAAAACTTCAAGTGGTTGTATATATGATAGTAGAAGCTTTGCACTACTTCCCTTTACAGAATCATATGTAAAGAAGAATAAGACAATTTTTATGGATTTGCATGAACAAACAAGATTTTTTTAGCCAAAGTAATATTTTCTTTCTCTACTTTTCATGAATTGGTCTAGTGCTGAGTAATAAATCCTACTTTGAAAGACTGGACATGGAAGAGTAGACAAGAATGCCCGCTTTCCTCCTGTAGTTCAGAGCCTTTCGCAAAAGTTTTTTCAGGATCCATGATCGAAGGTTAGTGTATACAAAACAGAGAAGTTCATATAAAAAGAATGATTTGAAGGCTATAGCTAGATGAGGAAGAAATAACAACTTTCGTTGACCATATACGAACTGGTTTTCTCGTTAATATCTGTGTTAAGGAGTACGAAAGTAGGCACTGTGACAGAAAGACATTTTGCGCTAAATTATTCATCTTAGCAATTTGAAAGGTAATTCATTGACTTTGTGTCCAGAATGGTGGGGCTCAGCTAGTATTGAACATTTCAAGTAGTACGTGGATACAAACTAGTGCATCCTCATGCCGCGGAGTAGTGAGTAGAAAAGTGTAAGGAACATACGTTTCGATACAGCCTAACAAACCCCAAAAAGTGTTTTTGAAACATTCGCGCAGTTTGATCCACGCAGAATTTGGATTTAAAATCCAAAAAGTTCGCAGTATAAGCTGCTATATCTTGCTAAAGCAATGCTGGGCTATTCCTAGGCGAGTATTTGCTACAAAGTTTGCACCTTTATTATAATACCACAATTTTTTTTAGCCATCTACAGTTTTTAAGAGACACAAAATTTAGCGTAATAAATTTAAAAAGGCAATGCTTTTCTTTTGGCCTAATTTTTGTTCCTCGCATTTGAGCTAACCTACGGATCTTCTTTGCTCATGCTAAGCTCTCTACAGATATAGGTCGGTCTGAAAGTTCGTTCTGTTTTCCAGACCCATGCTTAGACCACTAAAAATGAAGATAGACAAACTCTGTAAGCAATGTCCAAAGCAGAATTTCTTTCTCTTTCTAATGTTTATGTTATGGTTCAGATTCCCTCAATGTTAGCTCAGAAATTGGCAGGGCTCTCCAACACATGATTTTCACCCATTTTCAGTATAATTATTCTTAAAAATTTCCATTTTCAACTTTTGGACTAGTTTTGATAACAGTTGGATAGAATAAACAAAAGGCAATACAATAAGTTTTTTGCCATCTCTAGCTGGCTTCTCAAAACTTTTGAAGATAATTTTCTGATGCTATCAAACTCCATCTTTTGGCATCTCAATCCCCATAGGACAATAAACGACAAGCAACCAAGGTGTCATTCGATGCAGCTTTTTCTCTCCTTTCTGATAGACTTCCTTTCTTCCTGATTTGGATAATATTTGAGGATAAAATCATTATAATTTTTGTTTTCAGACGCGTTCCAGGCTGTACCCAGAAAATTCGGAATTCAATATTCTGAACCGTTAAACATTTCAGTTGCTGTTGTGGTAATGTTGTCATGCTAAGGATAGTGCTAAGTCACAATCCGTCTTTGAAAGCTTTGAAGTCCAAAGATTTGTCAGCGTTTGAAGCGATTGTGCAAAACCAGAGGTGCGATAGTGGGAGCCGATTTACCTTCACTTTTGAGCTAGAGTGACCACCTTCACTTTTGGAATAAAATCTTTTCCTTTTTTCCTAAACGATGAAGAAGGAAAATAAGCAAAACAAATGCAAAAAATATTATAGAAAGCATATTTTTATGTATACGGCGGCATATATTTGAAATAAACGTGTTTAGTACATAGTGTATTTGGAAGTAAAAGTTAGCGAGACTGTGCGGATTTTATTAAGTTAGTTTTTTTATAACGTACTGCGAAGAAAGTAGGTCGATCCAGGGAATAACCGCCGAGAACCAGAATTTTGAATAATAAAATAACGATAAATTATGCGAAATTTCCACTTTTATTAATCTTGCGGTTGAAGATGTCAGCAATTCCGACTTCATAAGTTTTGAAGAGTAATTGGTGCTCTGTCAGATGGTAAAAAATCGAGGCGATTTGAGAGATAGTCGTCGAAAGCCAGAATTCTAAAAAATTACCATTTTAGCGTGTTTAATGACAGCTGACAGTTAAATTCATATAAATCTTAAAAGTGACAGTGCGTGATGTTGCGACTTCATAGCTCTTGTAGAGTAAGGTTTGCCTTATCAGAATACACCTTAGATGTACCGATCCACTGAAACAGCGCCGAGATCCAGGGTCTTGAAAAAGAAGGTAAAAAAGCGCTTTTCAAAGTTCAACAGCTCATAACTTCTCCAGAACTACATGAATCATGTTGCGACTTCATAGGTTAGATTCTTCTCATCAAGAGCTTTGAGATGATGTATAACACGTGGGGGTTTATGGCCTTTTACGACTTATGCCCGGGAGAGGAGACTTTTCATCACAAGTTCTCCCCTGGCGGCCTCCATCCAACACATTAAAGTGGGCTGGGGGGACTTTGTGATGAAAAGTCTCCTCCCCCCGGCATAAGTCGTAAAAGGCCATAAACCTCCACGTGTTTTACATCATCTCAAAGCTCTTGATGAGAAGAATCTAACCTATGAAGTCGCAACATGATTCATGCAGTTCTGGAGAAGTTATGAGCTGTTGAACTTTGAAAAGCGCTTTTTTACCTTCTTTTTCAAGACCCTGGATTTTGCATGATTTTTCACTATTTGATTATTCAAAATTCTGGTTCGCGACGGTTATTCCCTGGATCGACCTACTTTCTTCGAAGTACGTTGACAAAATTTACTTAGTAAAATCCGTACAGTCCCGCTAACTTCTTTCAAATACACCATTCACTAAAACGTTTATTTTGAATATATATGCCGCCGCATACATAAAAATAGCTTTCAATAAACTTTTGCTTTGCTTATTCTCCGCACACTGGTGGCAACGACCTGGAATGATAGGCTCAGTCGACGTTAACGCCCCCCCCCCCTCCCCTCCCCCCCCCCCGTTTTTGGAAGGAGAGTGTCCGGCACTACCACCTTCACTTTTTGCCGGCCAGTGGTAGCTGGGACCACCTTCACTTTTGGTGGGCCCGGATTCCCCCATCGCAACTCTGTGCAAAACTAAGAGCTTTTGGGAAAATCATCTCAAGAAATACTCAAGAGTTATTTGATGAAGCCGAAATAGTTTTGTATTGTATTTTGTTTATTCTGTCCAAATTATAAAAGCTAGTCTAAAAGTTGAAATTTTCAAAAATAGCCAAACTGAAGATGGGTGAAAATCATGGATTGGAGATCCCTGCCGATTAATGAGCCGACATTGAGAGAATCCGAACAAAAACATAACCATTAGAAAGAGGTAGCAATCCTGCATCGGGTAGTGCTTATAGCGTTTGTCTATCTTCATTCTGAAAAACAGCTGAACTTTCGAACCTAATATGTAGACAGAAAGAAAATTTTTGACTGTGATATTTCCTGAAATTCGGCTTCACTACGTGGACCGGTTTTGAATGTCTCAATGACATATTGTATTAGGTTGTAATAAATTCTGCCAATTCTTCCTATAATTAGATACCAAAATTGATGCGAACGCAAGGGTGTTTGTCAATGCGTCATGACGCTAACTATCAAATATGCTATTCGGCTCGGAAAAGTAAAGACATACTAACAAGAAATCCCCCAAAAAAGGAGAGTAATGCATTGCGCTAAGGTCTGCGTAAAGGGGCATTTTTCAGAGTATAGATGGGCAGAACTTGGAGAAGCTTGATTCGCAAATCCGCCTTATACTCATTGGTCAGATAAAGAGACATCCGACTATTATCTGCTGCGGTACCGGAGCCTTCTTTCAAGCAATGACCCATTGATCTCTGCGTTCAAAAGTCGAACTCTTTACATGTTTCGAAATGCAGCCAGCGGGTTTCTTGGGAAACATCCCTGCTATACCTAACGGTAGTCTTAGGTTGCTCATGCACATGACCAAGAAATTCGTTGACTGGCACTCGTGATGAAGATGTAAATAGCACAATGTAGGTCACCTCTATTGGCAGAACTTTCTTTGCGACGTAAGGCTTTAGCCATACTTTACCCGTGTTACCCGTGTTACCGGTGTCACCAGTGTTAGTCACGCTTCTCATGTTACTAGTGTGTTCCCTAATGGCACTGGTTGCAGTTCAAAGTGCAAAGTTCACTTTGCTAAGACGATCAAAATCGATTTCAATATCTATCAGTCAAAAAATGAGTAACACTAGTAACACGAGTAACACCAGTAACACGGGTGATATAAGTAAAGTATGGTTAAAGCCTAATAGATCTTGCTTTAGTCTATCAAATAGTATATTTCTTACTTTCTGTTGCTATTTATGCTCGATTCAGAATCTGTTCAGTACCGTAGTGGAAATGCTTCCGATACCTAACCTATAGTGCAGCATTAGGAAAGAGGCTCCTTTCGAAAAACTTTGTAATCAAAGTAAATGGTAATTTTCAACTTTTTAAGGTATAGAACTATTCGTAGTACAAAGGCAGATAACATATTTATACACGAAGTGGCTTTCTCAAATAAGTCCTTGTTGTTCCTGTGTTTGACGTACATATCCAATCAATTAATGTAACATTGTAGATGCTTGTCATTGAAGCCCGATAGAGGGCAGCAATTACACGGAATGGCAAAGCTTCGAAAAAATTTCTTTGCAACCCAACTAACCACCAATTAAGTGACGGCTAAGAACGAAATGGAATTGAGCTATTCTGTCACACTTGAGCTCAAAATAAACTAGTTGCCTAACTTTTCACGAAACAGATTCGAGCAAAGTGATTCATTTCGATGTAGCGTTCCATTGCATGCGGATGTGCAATGTACTCGTCCTCCCACTTATCCTTGCAGGTGTTTCACTGCAGAATGTGAGTACTGTGACATCTCGTCCTCATGCATAGAAGTCACAAAATTCTATATTGTTGCTCAACATATATCTACTGAGCCTAAAGTTTAGGAGGTGAACGGCACTGGGGACGAGTTTCTTGTTGCAAAAGGTAAGTTTCCGCTTCTGTGTGGAGTCATAGATCACCCCAATAAACAGTCCTCCTGAAAAGAGATTCTTGCTTTTTGCTCTTCGTAATCAATGCTAGTTGGCGACACGTGACATGCACTTAGTTTACAATGCCAGATTCGCTTCATAGCAATAATAAATCTGAAAGAAATAGTATAAAACTAGGACACAGCACAAAGTGGAGGCTTTTGCAGCATCGTTGTGACAAATTCTTGATTTGAATAGTGTGTCAAGAAATGTCCGCCTTCTTGGTCCCATGTGTGCCATACTTTATTTAGTGACTGTCAGTTGGGCAGGCTCTGCTGACACAACGGCAAGCTAGATAAGGTTTTGGCCATACTTGACCCGTGTTGCCGGTGTTAATAGTGTTACTCGTGTTACTCATGTTACTAATGTTACCCGTGCTACCAGTGTAACTCGTGTTACTCATCAGTCAATGAGATTGCGTTTTTGAATAAAACTGTATTTGTGATCATTTCACTACTCAATAGCAATAGAAGCGGTAACACTAGTGACATTAGTAACACGAGTAACACGAGTAACACAAGTAACATGGGTAACACTGGTAACACTGGTAACACGGTAACACGGGTAACACCGGTAACATGAGTACACTAGTAACGGGTAACACTGGTAAAGTACGGCCAAAGCCTAATGTTTCTGAGAGAAACGTTGAGATTTGGGGCGTTCGGGAAAGACCTGAACAAATCGCGGAGATATGCTTGAGAGAAGATTTTTCTATTGGGACTCATGCTCCCGCTTGCCATACATTATTGTTACCAGAGTTAGCAATGGCGGTCTCAGGATTTCTGTTCGGGGGGGGGGGGGGGGGAACGGCAAAAATTGTTTCCAAGTGAAGGTGCGTGGCATCAGCCACGCATTCCGAAAAATTTTTAGGGGTGCTTCTCAGAATTTTTGCGGCTCCCCAGCCCGTAAAGCTGGAGAAAGGGGGCGTAGCGTCAACCATGTCCCCGAAAATTTTCTTAAAAGGCTAATTTGAGTTTTTAAAAAATTTAAAAATTATTTTAATTGTTTACAAAAATAAACAAGTCACTTGCAAATTTTTATAACCCACGTAAGTAAATTTCAAAAATTCTGCGACCCATTTTTGGGCAAGAGGGGGGGGGGGCGCTACCACTGTTACAAGTATGACAAGTGTTACTAATATATCCTGTTATCCCGTCTTATCAATTTTACTAATCTTATAGTGCTACCAATGTTGACAGTGTCTTGTCAAGAGTTTACTAGTGTTACTAGTGTGTTTCTGCTTTGTATTATAGAGATAGCCAAGCATTGCCGCATGTTTTTAGACATCTTTTTCTGCAAACATGAAGATCTTACAAAGCTGCAGTTTAAGCAGCTGCATGTTTTGCAGCGTAAAGACCGTTATCCAATCCCTTATGTTTTGTCGCTTTTATACAGAAGAGCACCTGTGTTACTAATCTAATTTATTTTAAAAGCTAACCTATTCCATACACTACCTTTGCAAAGGAATTGGTCGCCAGCAAAGGCTAAAAAGATCGAAATTGGGCTATTCACTCTTGCGAGAACATATCATCTACGACATAGCATGCTAATCTTTGTTAAAGATTATCTTGTATTACCTTTTTGTTGTAGGACCAGATATTCAAAAGCACAGGATTTTTTTTCGAACAAGGAATTTACATTATACCACTGCAACTCTTTCATGAGTCTGAAAATAGTAGCTGTAAGCAACGCTATCGTTTCAGCATTTTCTGCAAGACCCACTGCTTATTTGAACCAAGAAATCACAAGTGATGCCAAATCAAGCTCTGCAAAGAAATCTCCAGAAGCACCACGCGAACAACAACACTTTTTCGAGAAAACTTCTGACAGAAATTTTCCAGTTGAAACAAGTGAATCACAAATACCACTCCGACAACAGGTGGGAAGCTCATTAGGCGAGGGCTTGAGTAATGAGCTTTCAGGTGCAACAAGTACTTCACAAGTCAGACAGCAACTGGAAAGAACAAGTATCAAACAGTTACCAGTGGTGGACACTTCACAAGTACCAAATCGATCGATGGAAACGATCGATGGAAACGAACATGAGCAGCGTCTTAAAGCAGCAGAAAATAGGATATTGACTTTGAACTCGTTGAAGACCTCATCACTGAAAGCTGAAAAAGCGACAGATCTACCTAAGGTTGTAATTACTACAAGTGAAAATGCACCAGAAGAGACAACAGTAGCAGTAAGTACGAAAAGCCTGAGAACGACAGAGAGCGCTGTGACATTGGAAGAGACAACGAAGCAAACCCAAAAAACCATCGTGAAGACACCAACGGAGAAGACGACTAAAAAGAAAACGTATAAAAAAACATCAACAGCGAAATTGGAGGAAGCTGTAACAAAAGAAACGACGAAACAGACAGCTCCTGTAATCACTGATTTGAAAATGAGAACGACAGAAAGAAAAAGAACGATTGCTGTATCCAAGCTTTCGTCAAAACCTACGCCTAGAAAGACAAGAAAAAGAACGTTTGCTGTTTCCAAGCCTTCGTCAAGATCTCCGTATAAAAAGACCAAGATTAAACAAACATTCGCTACTTCCAAGTCTACTCCAAAGCAGACACTCATCGCCACGGTATTCTCTCCAACAATTCATTTAGAGCACATGATGACAACCAACGAAGGAGAGGAGACAACTGACGAAGAGTAAGTTGTTTAGAGACAATGCTTTGTAAATTAATCATATGAATAAGGTGTTACTAGTAAACGATAGAATTATCTTGTTTATTGAAACTAGCATCTTTTCTGCTATTTGAACGTTTCCCTCAAAAATCTATATATATATAAAACTCAAAAATTGTCAGTTTGGAGGGTATGCGCGTTATAGAAACGCGCGCCACTCAACCGATTCAGCTGAAACTTTGCACACATATGTTTTCGACCCTTGCGCAGATGATAGGCTACTTTTTGCGGCGATTTGTTGCGTTCTTCTATCGATTTATTGATTTGTTTACATTTTCCTAAGAAATTAAAGGGTTATCATGTTCAATCAAGCATTTTCTATACTCATGTAAAGGATGGAGGTGAAGCTCATGTTCACCTCAGGATCACGAGGATGCGGCTTCCAAGCGGATGTCCCAGGGTAAGTCATCCATACCATATAGGCCGGGGGGGGGGAGGGGGGGGGATGGCTCGCAGTGCAGTGAACCATGGCCCGGGCTGGACCGGGAAAGCCAACTAGTACCTACTAAATCACGCTCGTCAACAATAATTGCACTTACTAAAGACTTCAATGTATTATTTTAGTTCTCCTTATATCTTAAAGGCAGGGTCCAGGCAAATCTGGACACATGGGGCTCTCACGTGGATCACAATTTTGGGGCCCTAACTAAGCCACTGCCGAAGCGGCAGGTCAGGTAGTGCTCTAACGGCTTAGATATTCGCCTCGATTCAAGACCGGGTGCTCGCGCAAAATTGATGTGTTGCTCCATGACTCCATGCGAAATACGATCCCTGGGTCCAGTTTCAGGAGAATATCTCAGCCGTTAATGCACTACCTGAGATGCCGGTTGGACAGTAGCTTAGTTAGCTAGGGCCCCAAAATTACTATCCACGTGAGAGCCCCATGGTCCAAATTTGCCCGAACGCTGCCTTCAACCCACTATGATATTAGGTTGTCCCGAAAGTTTTGTCGGTTTCTTTCATCGATCACTAAAACTCACAGAACAGCAATCCATGGACGGCTTAGGTACCATTTGATTCAGATTTCTATTCTCTTTCTTACAGTTATACTTGCTCTTCATAACCTGTCTTTGCAATGTTATCGCCATGGCTTTTTGAGCAGCTCAGCATAACGCCAAATCTTTCCTGGACTTTAGAATTTTTTATTCTGATGTTTCCAAAACGCTGATAAGTGTTATGTAGAGCAAACCTTCGGCTACACTGTATCTATTTTAGATTACATGAGCCACGTTTACCAAGTCCGTTATGATTATTTATTGGTAAAAACCGCGGCTTTTTGATTAAGTTCAATAAGTAAAAGTACCAAAAATTCCAAAAAGCTGCTTTTTCAAAGCGAATCAAAGTTGGTTATGTTGCATAAATAACATTTAGTAAGAATCATGTTTCAATAAGCAAAAACTTCGAAAGCTTTCGTGTATTTGATGCAGTTGCGTGTTTCATAACTTTGCCAAAACTCGAGGTCTCCGGAAAAATAATTTTTTGAAGCTAAATATAGCAGATTAGGAAAATCTAAAAACGATACCTTGTAGTCCGAGAATCGCTCTATTTGATCCACACTTAACCCTTTCCGAAGCCTTCATACGGAATTTTCAAAAATTAGCCTAACTTTGAGCAGGTAAAGTTGACGGGTGGAGAACTTTGACAATTATCAAAAAAGCGTACAAGAATGTGGTATGAAAATGTAACCGTAAGAAAGAGAAGGAAAAGCTGCATCGAATGCATGTTGAAACTCTCTCAGTTCTGTATTGTGCGTGGTTTTGCAGTGGTTTGAAAAAACCGACAAGACTTTCGGGACAACCTAATATTATATCGCATAGTTGCATCCCCACTACGGTCTTATGCCCAGCTAAAAGCAGACCAGGCCAGATCTCCTGCCATCTGGCTTCTCGATCGCTAAGCGGTGCCGTCTCTGCTCTACATCCAAGGTTAGCGATCGCTCCGTGGAAATCAAGAGTAGGCCTAGTAATCTGTCCTGGCAGTTTAGAAATTCTATTACTTCACCAACTAGAAGAAGAGAAAGAGAACCTGCACACATTCGATCCCGCCTACGGCGCCTGGTGGTAGCAAGAAAGATGCCTTTTTCAGGGCGCCTTCTGGATTGGCCAAAAACGACACGTCTGCTTGGATGCCATGGAGTCTGCCTCATAATCTGTACTTCTGCATGGATGACTGCCATGAAGTCTGCCTCATACTCTGCACCTATAACTTAGAACAGTCTCCACAAACGCCGACCTTTACGCTCTTCTCGACGCTGCAGAGCACATTAAGTACCACGTCATCGCTCTGCAGGAAACGAGGTCCAGGAAGAAGGACGTGCGACGGATGAGTGATGGGATCCTCATTATTTGTGGCGAAAAAGTTCCATTACGAAATGTCGGAGGCGTTGGCTTTGTCGTCCACCCATCAATCGTCCATCTTGTCGATTCGCATGGGATCATGTCACCCCGAGTGGCCACCGTACGACAACGCAACGACCTCCACGTCAGATGACCATCAGCATCATCAACGGCTACTTACCAACATCAGCAGCTAACGATTTTGAGCTAGATGCTTTCTACGAAGACATGGAGCAGGCTGTCCGCAACGAGAAGTCCTTCTACAAGTTCGTTGTGAGTGACTTCAACGCGAAGATCGGGATGCCACTAGAGGAGAGATAAAGGATCGGGATTGGATATGGACTATGGTAACGGAGACGACAACCGTCTCGTTGGGCTTCTCTCCACTGACTTTTCCACGGAAATCCCACCTTCATGAAGAAAGAACATCGCCGGTGGGCATGGGAATCGCCCAACGGAACGACTTACGCGGAAATCGACCACATTCTCACCAACCGAACGTGAAGCTTGCTCGATGTCTCAGTAGTTCCATCCTTCTGCAGTGGCTCCAATCACCGCCTCCTTCGAGAGAAGATACGACTCAGCCGAAGGCTGGAAAAGAAAGTCTGTCATAGTGCCGCGAGAAGGAAGGAAGTCGATTATGACGGTAACAGGCTGGAAGAGCTCATATCAAGTTGTGACTGGCCCATTGAGGAGCGCCCAACGTACGACTACAACCGGCTTCTGGAAGGATTCCGACCTGCGGAGAGTGCGCCTTTGTGACTTCTGAGAAGAACCCGGAACGCATTTCGAGGACCACTAAGGAATAACTTGAAAGAAGAAAATTTTTGAGACAGGCTCACCGTGCAGCTCATCTCGAGCGACTGATAGCCATCGGCCAGTTTCAGAAAACATCTTTGCAAAAGGATCTCAGGAAGTAGAGGTACTAGAAGCAGTCGAGGGAAGGCGAAGTCATAAGAAGTGCCGAAGGGACTCTGTGAATATCCCTACACTGGCTGCACTATTGAACGAAGAAGGGACTCCGACTTCTGCCCGATACAAGATGGAATCTATCGCGAAGAACTCCTACACCAACCTCTTCTGCTCATCAACACCCATGTCGATGCCCGTTGTTCCCACTGGATAAGTACCACCCCGAATTCTACCTGCTGAAGTGCGTATCGCGATACAGACCAGAGCTCCAGGACCAGATCATCTTCCTTCTGCCTGCGACACCGTCTCCACGAATTCTAGCGTCCGCAGTAAACATCCTTTAGAAGGAGAAGATTTCCGACCAGTGAAGAACATCAAGAACCGTCCTTCTCTTCAAGAAGGGTGAACGGGAGGATCTTCGGAACTATCGTCCAATATGCTTGCTGAGTGTGCTGTACAAGCTTTTCACAAAGATTATCCTCGCTCGCATATCAAGGACACTGGATGAAGCCCAACCCCCAAGAACAAGCTGGATTTCGCAAAGGATTCAGCTGCATGGACCACATCCAGACCGTTTCGAGGGTCATAGAAGTCTGCCGGGATTACCGGCTGCCTCTCGTCCTAACCTTCGTCGACTACGAGAAAGCCTTCGACAGCGTCGAAACCAACGCCATCCTGTCTGCGCTAGTCGATTAAGGTGTGGACCCAGCTTACGTGAGGACAGTAGCCGACTGCTATAAGGACTGTACAACGACGATGCAGCTATTCCATCGCCCCCTGACAATCCCAGTCGGAAAGAGGATCCGACAAGGCGACAACACAATCTCGCCGAAGCTGTTCACCGCAGCTTTGCAGTGGGTGACGAAGGTACTGGACTGGGGCGAGAGAGGCATACGAGTTGATGGGAGATTCCTATCCTACCTTCGTTTTGCGGATGGCATCGTCCTTTTCTCAAGCAGTATCACTGAAGCAGAAACGATGCTGAAGTAGGGAAGAAGATCGGATTGCTAATTAATCGGAAATAAATCGGAAGAACTCATTGTCAGTTCATAAAGAACGCCCTTTGCAAAGATGCAGAAATGGAAGGCACCCCCTGTCATGAAGACGTTTTTTCACGTGTATCTCGGACGTTCGATGAACATGGAGAACGACTTGAAGGAAGAACTCAAAGGAGAAGAACAGCCTGGACCGCCCTCGGGCCTCTGAAGGAAGCCACCGACCAACTGACGGACCCGGAGCTTCGTTCCCATCTATTCGACTCAAGCGTTCTTCCAACTTCGTTACGTAGCTGGAACTTTGGCCGACACCGTAGCCATGTCAAAAGCTAAGGACCACCCAAGGGCGCTAGAGCGCATCTTCTGAAGATACCCGACACAAACATCATTTTGTCGGATTTCGCAGTACGGACGTGAAAAGAGCTTCCCGTCTTCGTGACCCACTGGAATGCGTTGCAAAAGAGAAACATCGATGGGCCGGTCTATCACGAGAAGAACAGACTACAGATGGACACTGAGAACATTTGAGTAGATTCCCAGCAAAGCGAAATGTTCCCGAGGAAGACTTCCAACGAGATGGGCAGACGTGTTTGAAGGGATGGACCAGCTAAGAAATCAGCTGGATACTATTTTTGCACCTGGAACTCGTGGATGCAGCCACCAATGTTAGCCAAGAAGATCATAGGGGTCTAAGGCGAGAGACAGGGAAAAATGGTAAGTTCTGTGCTGGGGCCCGCACGTCACCAAAGCCGAGCCGTCTCTATATCTAATCGTATTAAGTATTTGCACTAGAGAGACTTTGCTTATGTTAGTCATCTTGCGACTTTGCGGGATAGTTTGCGATGTAATTTAGCATTGAATCTCTCATTTCAATTGTCTGACTGACAAGGAACGCTACCTAATTTAGCTCGGCTTTTTGGCAAGGGACATATATGTTCTGAATCAGCTTCAAACGCTGATTCAGAACATATATTCATACAACATATGATTCAGATGTACTATTCCTAGCTGCCGCGCACCATTCCGAAGCGAGTTATGCACTTTTCTGCGCGAAATTGGCATACTACTGACCTACTACTACTACCTCTAAATATAAATCTGCAAGAAGAACGTGCTGAGGCATTGAAATAACACAAATCCAATCTTTTCTCGCTAAAAAAATCAACGCAAGTGTACGAGCACTTAGATGATGATGCCGTGATGTCAGCGAGTCGAGAGTATGCCAATTTTGCGCAGGAAAAATTCCATAACTCGCTTCGAAATGGTGCGCGGCAGCTAGGAATAGCATATTTGGAGTCAGCGTTTGAAGCTGATTCAGAATATGTATATGTCACTTGCCAAAAGGCCGAGCTAAATTAGGTAGCGTTCCTTATAAGTAGTTGTGTGACTAAGTCCGAATAGATGGCAGATGATTACTTCCTATCTTCATGAAAGATGTCAGCAATATTCTTCCGAGGTTGCAGACCACTTGCAAGAAATTCATATCCGCTCGAAGTTGCCAACTGCAATGAGATGTACTGAACTACCCAAAAAATTTTGGACAGCAAGCCATTCCTGTTTTTGACATTAATCTTTGCTTGTTATGTTGCTTATCAAAAGCGAGAACAAGGAAAAACGTTTACATCATAACTCAAATTTAGAGTAAAATGAGTTTAATTTCCTTTAATAAATGGTGCTATCTCTTCATATTTTCGTGCACCTTTTAGTGAAAAATTTTTGGATTTTGAAAATCTTTCGCAGCAAGGATATTTGTAAATATTTGGGAAATCTTTTATTGATGCTTCTCATTTCGATTAGGACTGAGTTCTTATCCCGTTTTGGCTAATTTTTTCACATTTGTCTTGAAAGAAAGTCCTTTCAGTCGAAGTGGCCTTTCCAAATGACTTGAGACGCCAAGTTTGAGCGTTTTGAGGTTGCAAGATTGAATGCACAACTGGAACAAAATCGTTCCCTGGTCTATTTTTAGGGAGCGGTTCATTCGCTATTTTCTATCTAATACACTCAATCAGACAATCGCAAATGACTTCCGGGGAAAAGTGAATTTCTAAAACTTCCGGAACGACGCTCCTATTATGCCGTGTGGTGGGCTCTGATATATACCCGGCAGCTCCAACACGAATGTCCCCCGGAAGTTTTAGAACTTCAGTTTTCCCCGCAAATCATTTGCGATTGTCTGAGCATACTAAACACCGCTTTAATAAACGCTGAAAAGAGCAAGATTAGTTTTTCCTAGACTTTTTTGCTCTGAAAAGTACAACTTGGCATCCAAAAGCGCTTGGCAGACAACGAAAAATGTGAAGTTGGTGTCCAATGCCCCTTAGAGTGGTATGAAACGCATTTAAAAAGGCTACTCCGGCTAAATTCGTTTCCCTTGTCAGCAAACCACTATTGAGTAGTATACAAATCAAGCAGGATTGGAAATTGGTTTTGATTTATCCATATTCTCTTATAAAACATAGTTATTGAAAACGTTTACTTCTAGTGTAGGTTCTGGAGATATTCCAAATACGCTTTTATTGAAAATCGTTTTTGAAAAAAAAAACGTGTTTCTAACGCAAAACTGAGAATTCTTTGGCTAACAGAAATGCTTTCATTATATCCATCATACATAGGATGTTTGGTCTCGGGTTCCTACGCCAAAAAAATGTCTTAGAAGTGATTAAATAATCCTTATGCAAATGGTAGAAATGGTATGATTCCAGGATGATTGGCATTCACAATCCTCCACCGTTCCAGAAAAAACGCTTCGAAAATGATGAGAGACCTCGGCAGACGAACAAATCTGCTTTGTATGATCGTATATCACCCTAATTTTTTATCTCATTTATCACTTCAGACCCTTCATACTCGGTGTGATTGCTGGAGCATTGGTGGTTGCTGCAGTGTTAGCCTCGGTTGTGTTAATCATGGTCGTACATCATCGTAAGAGAAAAGGAAGAAAGACACAAACAGGTTTTTTTTGTTGCTTAGAAAAACTGATCATAAATACCACACATTTTTGCTTAGTAATACTTCCCAGTAAGTAAGTGTAAGACACGAATTAATGGCTGTATTTGACGAATACAAGTTCTTAACGTATGACTTCTTATTTCTCAACTTGCACCACCGTAATCAGGTTCAAATCAAAATTTGCATCCTTTGATATTTCAAAATTCTCAACGTTAGCTGTTCAGTATAGCAGAGTTCTAGATGTACAGGAATGATTTCCACGAAAGTCCATAATGGAGGACAATGTTCAAACCCATTTTATTCGTTCGCGATAGAAACTGGTCGGAACCTGCTATCGCTCGATTTGTTCAAAAAATTTTATCTCATCGCAACCACGAGGCAAAGCGGTGTGATGAAAATGATCCAACCCTACCTAAGCTTTCGCTGGCGAAACAATCATGCGAAAAGTCCATTTAGAATGGGGTAAAATGGGATTCACCTCCATTTTAAATGGACTTAAAAGCCCCTTTTACTCTCAGCAGCCGAATGAGCTGGGACTAAGCCCATTCTTTTTACACATTTTTGATTGCAATTTTTTGAGAATGTGTTACCTCAAAATGGGCTAGAATGTTCCCTAGCCCATTTTGAGGTAAGTGAGTAAAAAAAGTTTTATGTTTCTTATAAAGTCTGACATGTTTCTTTCTAAATTCATACAAACGCCATAAAAATCATGGAAGAAGGTTGAATTCACCAAAATATTTACCAACAAGCTCAAATGCTTCCATATATCATGCCGCTGCGAAAATTTCTATGTAAATCTAATAAAGTTTTTGAGCCTCCAAATCATCAACCAAAACTCAATTTATGACTTGTGTATGAAAATAGAAAGATTTTTCAATATAATCGCTAAGAAGCTACTTTTGACTAATCTCGTAGAACTGAACCTAAAAGATGGCATTTCAAACGTGAATATGAGTTTGGTCGCAAGAATTAATGAAGTACCGCTAGCTAGCGAGAAAAGTTGTGAAAAATTTCTTTAGCAATAGTCCATACATTCAACTACTTAGAGATATAAAAATTAGTGCTGAAAGACAAAGAAGAGTTGAAGTAGTACATTTGCGAAGTCATCTTTTGCAAATTCGTAGTTTTTCCAATCAAAAAAAAAACTTTTTGGCTTGTAGTGTAGTAGAAGGTTTCCTATAAGATAAGCATTTTAATTCATAGATGCAGTGCGAGTCCAGCCAAAGTTTGCTTTCTGCAGAAAGCTCTACATACGAATTTGATTCAACGCAGATTCATAGAAGTCTTGAAAAGCGAAGGATCGGATTTTACATGAATTTTAGTTTTGGGAGTAATTTAGATGCATGGTCATCGATAATAAATGGCATTTTGTGAGGTGTTCGAAGTGGGAAAGAATAAAAAATCCATGTGACATTGTAATATTAGGGCAGCCTAGCCAGATATCGACCACTAAGGAAATGAGTTTGCAAGTGAGTAAACAGGTTGAGACAAGTTGGAGAAAGGTTGTTGAAGCATTTTTGTATGGAATGAATGGATTCGCGGATGCGATATCTCATCGCACCGCATGGACTAAGTCATTTTGTTTGCACGAAAAGCTCATTTCGCGGGAACTTTCGTAGATATCATTCCAGAATTAAGTGGGGGACGCAGCTTAAAAGGAAGTCCCAAATCCTACAGTTTTGAGGCTCTTATTTTCGATCATCACATTCTCAAGAGCATTGTTGGTTGAGCCGCATTTCACGACTTTCGTATGATCATGATCTTTGGCAACGATCCGCTTTTTCTAGAGACTATTTTGCTTGCGCTGAGTCAATAAAAACATCCCAAAGTTACACTTTTCATATAAACCAGCAATGCTAATAAGAAAAGGAACTTGGTGAGCGTAATCGTTCGTTATGAGAAAATTCCACTAGATGCATCTCAAAACGCAGAGTACTAATCTGCCTTCGGTATCTGCTAAGCGATTGTTCGTAAGTTATTATCTTTTTTGGCCACAATTTTCCACAGAGGCATGACCACAATTATTGATATCTAAGTTTTTCAAGGACATACAACTAAGACAGGTTATCCAGCTTCAAAATTATTGTGCCTTTATAGAAAAATTATTTTGAAGAGTGAAACAAGGAACTTGAACAATTTTTCTTGTTTTGCTGTACCGAAACAGTCGAATTTTTTTGGTAAAAAACGTTCGCAACTTATTTCAGACAATCGCTTAACAGATAGTGGAAGGAGATTTGAAATAGGCGTTTCAAGACGCATCCTGTGATGAGTGTTTCATTGCGAATGGCAACGGTTACCAAACACTTCCCTTGCACCCTGTTTCTGAGTCAATTGGATGAGCGTCTGGGAGGCGGGGCTTCGTGACCTAATTAAGGGCGAAAAATTATCAGAAAATACGCTCGCAAGGGAGACCCAGGTTGCGCTGCGGTCGCGAGCGGCAGAATTCCTAAAAGGTGAGCATGTTTCTGATGATGAAATGGTTTACTGAAGTAATAAAAGTTTTGATGAACCAAAGTCGAAACTTGAGATTTATCGAATAATTCAACATCGTGTCGACTTATTTGTTCTTACCAGAAGCATGCTTAGCATTAGCACTTCCGGATTTGCTGACTGCAATGAACAACATTTTGATCACTCTTCAACTGCATTGTCAATTTTAGTAGTTTAAGTCTAAGATATATGTCCATAACATCCAAGGTATAGATGCGATCTAAATTTGCAAAAATCGCCGAGAAGGTGTGAGATGTGCAACATGTGGTTCTCGAAGGAACTATCCGAATTTGCTGGTTCCCATCTCCATGCATGCTAGACTCACATGCGAGTAGATGTGTCATGAGAAACTTCGCTCCGAGAGCTTGGCTGCAACTTGCACTACGATTTTTGTAATAGGCAGACATACCCACAAAAAAACAACGTTAGCCTGTTGTTATAGTAGTAGGAATGTAGAATTACTTGTTTCTTTTTTTTCAATTCTTTCCCAACTCCATGATAAGTGCGTAGAAATTACCCTAATTTCACGAGTATAAGACGAAGACTTTTTTTTCCAAAGTCGACCTGCTCGAACATGCCAAAAAATTTGGCGACACAGATTCGCTCTTTGCACATTACCTAAAAAAAGAGCATAGCCATCTTTTCGGGAGGCACACCGAAACGTCTGGGTTGCAAGCATCAGAAAACGAAAAAAGGCGAGACTTTTCTCGTGAAATTATGGCAGATAAAACTGACAAATTTTGAAGAGATATAAAACAAAACTTTCAGAAAGTCTGACGGTGGAACAGCGACCAAAAGCTGTACGTGAATTAAATTCCTTGCAATTTATTTCCAAAAGTGGTTATTTGACTATTTTTCAGAGAAAAATGCCTAGAAAAATGGAGTCAGCCAACATTAACGCAACGAAATTCAGCCACGCTGGACCACTCGTTTTGGATGCAAAGTTGAAAGGGCCAGTGGTGAGTGAACACTACTAGGTAAAAGAAGTTGCTGCAAAACTAAATGGTTGGAAATTCTATTTCCTGTAGACAAGACGCATACAGGGCCCAGTAGGGAGTACTAAAGTCAAACTAACAGAAGAAAGCTTTCTGGTCAAATTGACCTATCTGAAGGAAGTTTATACTCTGTGAAAAGCATTGAACACTAATTACAAATCCATATTTTATTTGCTAAACATCTTTGGACGCTGAGCTGTGTTTTTTAAAGTTTTGGTCCTTCTAGTGTTCAAATACTGCTGCATTATGAATATCACATAAAAGTGTTCATGCATAAAGTCTTTTGATATTTAGCACTAAACCGTTTGAGCTATTTCAGAAAACTTTGTCTCAAGCCCAAGAAGCGCTCATAGATACGCGTCCATAGGCGCTTGGAAGATACTGAGTACAGATTCGGAAAGCCTTCGATGCTTTTCATATAAAGTTCCACAGAGAAATCATTTCGAATGTAAAAACTCCTTCCGAGCTTGTTTTTGGGCAAAAAGCAAAGAGGTTATGGTTAAACATATCGAAGAGGTAATTGTGCGTACTGCTTTGCTTCATAGTTGAATTACAAATACGACATGCTCAGAGGTGTTCTCGTCGAGTGCGGGAAATTCAAAAGTCATCATCACATCGAAGCAAGGCGGTATGCTCAAGTATCTCATATTCGGTACCAGCGCGTCACTTCTGCTCGGCAAAGATTCGACTGACTTTACTTTCCGTACGCCTTTTTCGTGCTCGCATAATGATGACTTAGGACCCACCGCGCGGTGTGGACATCACCAATGTATTGTATAAATAGCACATTCTTAGAACTTCTTTCAAGTAAGATCGGTAATTCTGAGACAAAAAAAATTAGGTGCAAAGGAGCAAATGCGAATTTGAATGAGTTGTTGAATTTGTTTTGGCTTGATGGTTGCCATAAGGTTATCAGCTTGGGCCACATTCGGTGCAAAATTCTTCTCAACTTTTCAGGTGAAACCTTGACTAATCGATTATCAACCCAATCATCATTTGGGGTTATTTTTTACAAAATAACATCCTAATCGCTTTTTAGGCTAGAATTCATGGCTCGCAGATTTAGTTGTCACGCAAACACATGACTTTGCAAAAAGTCGAATTAGCGACCTAGTTTTGCATGCCAAAAGCCGCGTGGACCCATTTGGCATGCAAAGTTTGAAGGGTCCGCTTATCAAACCGGCTAGACTGTGCGTGTAGTGCACCTATATGCTGGTACCGTGTGTTACGCTAAAAAGTGGCTCGATAGCTCGGCTGCAGCACCCTCCATCAAATGACACAAATGTTGAATCACATGTATTGATATGTCTGTAAACGTACTACTTTGAAAACCTTGGAAATTGGTATGAAGCAACAATTTTTTATGCTCCAAGCCTTCCTGGTCAACTGAATCGGCTTAGAACATAAGTAATGTAAAGTTCACCTAATTTCTGTTTTTTTTTGACATAGATTTTTTCTCCGTTCGAAGTATCTTTCCGCGGGAAGGTTACATTGTCTCTGCTTTGCAGTCCAGATTTGAGGGCGCATTCTTGCGTGTATAGTGAGAATTGCTTTTGAACTGAAATTTAGTTGCCCTTTGAACTGAAATTTAGTTGCCCTAATTGACTGGCTCACCCACTCAAATGACACAAACTATTAAAGATGTATGATGGTAACCAGCAGGACGCGTGGTAAGCGCAAAAGGACAAATATTTCCTTTCAAAACCATGACTGTGGTCCAACCTATAACTCGATCAAGATTTTGACAGGCCTGCGTGCACGGTTTTTCCTTAAAAGGACGGCAGTTTGTTCAAAGAGAGAATCATGCTCTTAAAAATTATAGACATTGCTCTCCTCTCCCACACGGACATTTGCATGTGATCTGAGAGCGTACAATGATCGCTAATTGGCGATCTTACGCTGATAGAGGCCTGCTTGCGGATTCAGAGGAATGATTAAGCCTAGGTCAAACAGAATTTAGGGGTTGACAAAGTGTCTCAATAAAATCGTTATGAATGAGTTGCACTTTAGCGGCATGCACTTGAAGACAATACCACCGGTGCTGCGCTTTCCAAGGTACAATTCGATCCCAAACTGAACGAAATTGTAGACATTGGTACTGACGTAGATGTTATTAATGTAAGTTTAAAATGTGAGGTTTTGAAGAAATTAGGTGCTTATGACTTAGAAAATTGTTTGTTTCAGATGTCCAGGATGACGACTGCAGCTACTACTACTGATACAGGACACGCAGTCAAGAAGGCCAATGTATGTACGAAGTTTTGCTATGTATTTTATGCTTCGTACCATAAGTTTTGCAGCAGTCTGGAACTATGGTACCAGAAACCGCTAAAATTTCGGTAACTATTGAATATGTACATACTTGATCTTTAAATTCTTCTTCTCAAACATTTCAAGGACCGATTATTCACCGATAAAAAAAAACCAAAGGACGAGACGGCGACGAAGAACGCTGCTCTTCCTCCACATCTTCCCACCGCAGCTGCTGCGATCAAACCTCTCAAAGAAACAAAGCCGAAAGCGTGAATACTTAATCCAATTGTAAAGTTCCATAACAAATGAGCAAAATCTGTAACCATTCATATCTTCAAAATATTAAAATTTTGCCCGCGATCATGATTGGTACTTGATAAAGCATCTGATCTGAAGATTTGTTCTCAATTTTGTAGAATAGCAAACGACTACGGGAGCTTGCATGTACAGTCAAGAGTGGTTTTCGCAAAGCTGGTTAACTGGTTTAAGTGTGATATCAGTGTTTTGTACAATTTTCAGAAATGTAAGTCAAGAGCTTATCAACAAAATTGCTTTAAAAAGTCATAAAATACAGGCAGCTTCTCAGCCAGGCTGTAGATCATTATCATGCATGTGTTTGCTACAAGTTAGAAAGTTCAAGTTCTTTCTAAATCGGAAACCAGAGAAGCGCTTGTTGTTTCACATAAGCAAACACAATGAGAAGAGTTAGTAAATGTGTTGCTCTAATGTCTTTTATAAGAAAATTATGTGTTTCATAAGAAGAAAGCTGCTGTTTGAACCGCGCTTGCAGTATATATATTAGGCTGGAAACTTAGTTTTGCACTCCTTTCATAACTTTACTATCTTTGGATGTGTTGCCTCAAACTCTGACAATATAGGGCGCAATGTGTTCTACAACTGCGCACAATTGCTTAGCCTTTCAACGCGAATTAGAAAAACCCAGGCATTTTTCGAAAAATGGTGAATTTTGAGAATTTTGGTTATCAGCCAAAATGAAGCAGTTAGCAGCCTAGACCATGCGCATTGATCCGGACTTGTGTACGGATCATTGCTAAAGGTTACCTCATGCGGCTTAGCAAGAAAAAATAGAATTTGATAGCATGTCGAGAATTGCCGCAATCACAAAGTTGAGCAAGTCCGCTATACGCAAAGCTGCTAGAAACAACCGTCAATGACCAAGGTTTCAAGAGCTCAAAATCATCGAGACTACATATAGTAAGGTTATTTGACTTGCCAAACACGAACATCATATTTATTTGTTGAAATAATGCCTCTTTTCTTGCTTAGGGTGGGACGCTACATCGTAAACATACGGTAATACAAAAAAGCCCTTATCACGCAATTTCAGTATCGTTTTCGTGATCAGCATGCCGGATAACCCCACTATACCAAATTTCAGCCGAATCTGTCGAATTTTATAATTTTTCCTCTTATACCACATGTCTACCGTAACCCTCACCGCCGTCAGAATTTAGCAGAGTAGCAGCTGCTCTTGTAGCTTAGTCATAGCCTACACAATAGCAAAACTTGAGTGTGCCACGTTAAGAGAAAAGTAAGTTATTGAATGATTGCAAAACTTAGTTTCCAACCTAATATACAGGGTGTCCCAAAAGTATGTATACACTGTTTGATCGTTATATCTCTCTTCTAAAGGAGTCCTTCACCTACTTTGGGGTACCATTTTGTAAAAGTGGCTTCATCTTAGTTTACAATACGCAGCAAATTACCGATCGCTTTTCATACTGAAGAATTATGGTATTGAAAACTTTTGGCTTTTAGCTTTGACTCATTGTGGGTTCGTCGTGTTTCAAAAAAGTTTCAAAAATTCTGAAAAGTGGTATACCAGGGTTTCCACGCGCACTGATTTCATTAGTCAACTTTCTAGGAGTTTGCAAAACCTTTGAAAGGGTGTGAGTGCAATTTTAGGGAGCATCCTAAAAACAGCTATTACAGTTTACGGGGCATAAGTCATGAAGGAAGCATCGCAATCAAGCGCAAAGTTCATATTTGGTTTTAGCGACCTTAATTAGCCTAATGTGAGAGTTTTCGGTTTGTTTGGTTTGCTTTTTAAAGCGAAATAAGGCTCTCAATGGCTCAAAATCATTCTTGAAGTTGCTATCGTAATCCTGCAGTACTAAACGAAGTTAGTTGATTCGCCCCATATTGTGATTTAAGTTGAAGCCTGCCCTACAAAAGGGTATCTGAAGGCAGGCGAAAGACCCCTAGGGAAGAGAGATTTTAATGAACAAACAGTGTATACATGCTTTTGGGACACCTTGTATATGTGATGCACAACCAAGGTAACTTTATTGTTACATTAAAGATCGCTTAATACTAGAATCCTACTTTTCTTCCATTCCCACTAAACAACTTCTATTACTTCTCATAACTTAGGGAGCTTCCAGACCGCGCAAGTTGCCGCTTTTGCAGCCGTTAGCCGCTTTCGCGCTGGTTGCCGCTATTGCAGCCGAAGCGCAGCGGGTTAGGCCATTGTCTCTCTGGCGCGTGTGCGGCGCGAAAACTCACTAATTTATCGAATTTTTTGTGTTTTTCCACCTTTTTCTCAATTTGTCTTTTACAGGCTGGTTTTGAATTACAAGTTTTTGGATAGTGGTTGCGCGAAGACTTGAAAGATCGTCATTGAGGACAGATGCGCTAACGATCGCCTACATTCAGCTGGAGTTTACAAAATGACCTGTTGATTGCTTTTTTCCAGGCTTTATTAAGCTCAAGATTTGTGCTTTTTGTGAATGATGCGGTTTTGAAAGCTGCATGCAATGTTTAAGACCATTTGTGCAAATCCATGCGGATGCATGAATCGAAGCATGGAAAAACCGCGTCACTCACAACATATTAGGTCGTTCCGAAAGCTCTTTCCGTTTTTTCAACCTATCATAAAAACACGAGGAATGAAGGTAGGGAAACGCGTCAAACACTATCCGACGCAGCTATTCCTCCTCTTTTCAACTGTCATATGCCTGTGGCGCTTGCTCTTGCGATCAGTGAGATAATGTTCGAAATTTCGAACACATGGTTTTTACGATACCCAACTTTGGCAATTTTTCACGATCTTCTTTTTTGACTTTTGGAGAAGCTTTGACAGCAGTCAGATAGAGCAAACAAAGTGCGATTTAATGCAATTTTTCGGCGCCCATAGCTAGCCTTGAAAATTGTTTAGAAATATTTTTCTGATGCTATCAAATTCCACTTTTGGTGATGCCAAGAATCATAGAACATGAAACAGTGCACAATTAAGGTGTCATTCGATGCAGCTTTTTCTCCTCTTTCTATTGAATATTTTTCTTCCCAATTTGTGGGAGTTTTTGACGATAAAATTTCCATAATTCTTGATTTTGGACCCGCCTAAGGGTGTACACGCGAAAAGCGAAATTTTATATTTCGAAGCGGTAAACACTGAGTTACTTTGTAAAAATAGTGGACAATCATAAACGACTTTTGAAAGTGTCGCAATCCGAAGATTTGTTAATGTTTGGAGCGTTTTTGTTTTTTGTGATTTCGAAAAAAATGAAGACTTCTGCAAAAATTATCTCAAAAAATACTAAGAATCCATCAAAGTTGCCAAAAAATTCCATCAGATTGCACTTTGTTTACTCTATCTGAGTGCTATTAAAGCTTTTCCAAGATTCAAAAAAGAAGGATGTGAAAAATTGCCAAAGTTGGACACCATGAAAACCATGGGTTCGAAATTTCGGCCATTATCTCACTGATCACAAGAGCAAGCGACACAGATATATGACCGTTGAAAAGAGGAAGAAAAGCTGCGTTGGATAGTGCTTGAATCGTTTCCTTACCTTCATTCCACGTGTTTTTATGATAGGTTGAAAAAACGGAAAGAACTTTCGGAACGACCTAATATATGGAACTTAAGCGTAAAACATATTTCATGCTCTATTGGTGCTGCTGGTTACTTATTTTCTCGCTTTTCTGTTAAGCTCGAATTTCACATTTTTTGTGGAGATGCGGTTTTTATACCCTTACGGCCGTGCCCCATCATGGATTTGCACAATTCTTCACTATCGTACCGAGCTTTTCAAACACGCCACTACAAAAGTATAGAACTTGGGCTAAACCAAAAAAAAACGCAATGAACAATCCACTTTGTAAATTCCAGCTGAATGTAGGCAAGGCTTAGCCCTTCTGTCCTCAACGGCGACATTTTAAGTCTTGGAGCAATGACTACCCAAAGACTTGTAGATACCTCAAAATTAGCCTATAACAGACAAATTAAGAAACAGATGAAAAAACACAGAAAATTCGATAAATCATTGAGTTTCGGCGCCGCACATGCCCCAGGGAGACAATGGCCTGACCAACTGCGCTTCGGCTGCAAAAGCGGTAACCGGCGCGGTCTGGAAGCTCCCTTAGCTTGAACAATACTCCGGCGGGTGCTACTTTCAACAGTTTCTTTACAGTCAGAGGCGATGGACATAAAGAAGCGGAAGCCAAGAGGACCGACCCTGTGATGGAGGATAAAGAAGAATGAGAGCGCGAAAGCTCCTGTCTTGGTCTCAGGCAGCTTTTATGCTCGCTAAAGCGCGTCGCGCGCTTGCAGCTAAATCAATATTCATCACGAACGAGAGTACTTGCAAAAGCCGTTCCCGCCCGCCTTTCTTTTTGTAGATTGCCACTAAGTTAACAACAACATCACAAGCAATTGTTCAAGTTACCAATTTAATATAGAAATGTTAGCAAGAAACTAGTGATAATTTTGTGTCTACTTATTTTATATGATGAAGTGGAGAAGATGTCTTGTTGTCTGCAATAGTGTCTCTTCTGGCTCGCGATGTAAGCAAACTGTTCGTCTGACGTTGTATGCGAAGCAGTTGATGGAAGCAAGTGGAAGTTGACGAAGCGTCAGCTGATGACGATGATTTTTCCCAACCTTATTTTCTTTCATTTCATCTCGCTTTATCTTTCTGTTTACTTTTTTCTTTTGTTTTTGTTTTCATGTGTTCCAACCACAGCAATTCCGGCAAAGTTCAATCATCTTTCGTCATAGGGAAAGTATGAGGACAAAATCTGGTGTGATTTGTGTGTTTTTTAGCCTCATCTTCCCTTCCATGTCTTTCACAATGAAAACACAACGATCTTGTTTTGCAAGAAGTAACCAGGTAATTGCGTGCTTAAAGCACCTTTCACACTTGTTCAAATAATGGACGCGGTAATATCTTTCCTCCATTGTTGATATTTCCTACATTTAGTCTTAAAGCGTTCTCCATAGCACAACATACACGGTCTCTAACGTTGAAGTCCACTGGGCCCAGGCGACAGTGATCGCTACTGTCTTTCCCTCTCCTTCTTTTCTTCTTTTTTCCTTTCCATGTATGATTGCATTTTT